GCAGCACCTACCACATTTGGATTAGCACCCTCTAGTACGGTAGTACCCCCCCCTTCTGCCTCTGGGCGCGATCCGGTCAGAGCCCAGTTCCTAGTGCCGCAAGATGTGCGTGAGTGAGAAGCGCGGCGCAGCAAAATTCAGAGTACCTAAATTCCTAGCCTAAGTCCTAATTGCAACAAGGAGATTCTGAAGAGCCCAAAAACAATCCGCGAGCCCGTGGGGGCTTGACATAAGTTAAAAATTCAAAAAACGATATCCCCGCGCGATGATCGCGCCAAAAATTCCTAGTGCTCACGGCAGAACAAGAAAGAAGCCATGGCAACCGTTGTCCCTTACGCTCGCTAAGGCGCAGTTACCCAATCGTCGGCGCGGGACTTTCCCATCACCGACCCGACAGATTCTCACAGGAAACAAAAAGAATAAGGGTATCTATGCAATTTTGCCCAACCGACCCATCTTCTCCGCAGCTCACCCATCCGACCCGTCTCATTCCCCCAAGGCAACTTCGCGCCGAAAGTCGTGCGGTTACAGAAAATGGTTTGTCACAGTCCGATCCCGCCTTAACTGTGGGGATTCTCTGGATGGACGGGTCCTTGCGTAAGAATGATGCAATGGCTTCCATCACGAACAAGAAGATTGACGGGGCCAACGGGTCCCCTTGGCGGACCGAACGGGATATTGGGTAGCATTCCGATAATAGGCCGTTTACTTGGACACAACCAATTGCGTCTTTGTATAAGATATGAACCCACTTCCTGAAATTCAGTCCCACTCCCATTCTTTCCATACACGCTTCCAAGAAGGCCCAATTCACTTGGTCGTAGGCCTTCTCAAAATAAAAAAAGAGAATGGCAGTGTTAATTCTCCTTTCCCTAAACTTCCTAGTTGCTTCGTTTAGTGTTAGCACATTGTCTAGAATGTACAGACCTAGGATGAAGCCTGTTTGGTCAATATGGAAGCATTTATTTGTGATTTTGAGAATTCGGTTGGAAAGGGCCTTATCCAGAATTTTGCACGGAAGTGTTAGGAGCGAAATCGGTCTATAGTTCCTAATATCTTTTTTGTCCCCTTTCTTATAGAGTAGCGTGACCACACTACTGCTGAGTAGGTTACCTAGACCCCCTCTAGTCCATCTATCATTGTAAAAGTTTAGCAGATCCAGTCCTAGAAGGGGCCATAATTTTTCCCAGATATCTTTCGTTAGTCCGTCAATCCCTGGGGACTTACCGTTATTCATGCCTTTTAGAGCTTGATGCAGCTCCTCCAGCGTAATCGGTTTATCTAGCGCCTCAGCCTGTTCTGCTGATATCGTTTGTTCCCAAGTATTGGAGCATTTTCTGCCTTGCCTCCCTCGTACTCGGCAATGATGGTACTGGGGTCTTCGACTGGTGGAGGTCTTTGTAGAAATCTTTGGCTATCTCTAACATCCCATCGCTGTCTGATTTGGTGATCTCTGGGTCTGAAGTAGACTTCAAGCAATCTATCGTGCTAGCCTTTGAGTTGGCCTTGATTCGAGCAAAAAAATGTTTTGTCATAGAGTCACTGAGATTGTATTAACACATTCTAGCTCTTATTTGCAGTCCTTTAAGATCCCACCACCTCCATACTGCCAATTCTTCACGTGCTTTCTCGAAAATATCGTTGTACAGTGGTGATGAGGGGTTATCTATCAGATTAGTCTCTGCTAAGCTTCATAGCAAATTCTAGAGACTGTCTCCTTTGTTTCCGTATGGATGCAAGCTTCCTAGAGATTTTGGCCACTGTGTTTGAAAGAGTGGCATAACTCTCCTGGAACCATTCCCATCTAGTCTCAGTACTTAAGCGTGCGGACCTCTGACCTAGCCAGCAGTCACATACCCCCTTTTGGAACGTCTGACTGAGCAAGAGAGAATTATTCAGCTTTTGGAAGCTGGCCCCCTTTTTACCAAATTGGTCGAAGCTTATTACCAGTTCAATTGGCTTGTGGTCCAGCCCCGGGTATGGAGCCAAAGGCAGGACCTCCGCACCGTTGACTGCTCCCATCATTGTCTCTGACACCAAAAAGTAGTCTATACGTGAAAAGGCGGTCTGGTGCGCATGATTTTTCTTGACCAGGGTCAACGTTCTTTTGGGGGGATGTAGAGTTCTGTACGGTTCTACCAGGTTGTGGTCCAGCATCAATTCTTGGATTGGTAATGCATCCGCTAAACTGTGAATGTTAGATGACCGAGATATACTATCTGTTACCGGATCCACGGTGGCATTCCAATCGCCTCCCAGGACACAAGGGACCGTTGGCGGAATCAAACTGTTGAGGTTCGTCGAAAAGGACAATCTCTGCGAAGTAATGTTTGGTGCATATACATTCATCAGTAGGAACTCCTCATCGTTCCATCTAAGGTGTAATAGGCACCATCTCCCTTCCATGGGGTCTGCTCTCTTGTCTAATACTGATCCAGCTGTATAGACACGAGATGATTTGGGAACCAGAATCGCAGTCCCTTTGGAGCTTGAGGCAAGGTCTGCCGACCATATTTCATCTTTCAGGCCTTCTAGCTTCCTTGCCAGGAACGACCGGATTCTGTTGTGTTCCGCAGAGAAGGTGAGGTGGGTTTCTTGTAGTAACAAAATATCTGCTACTTTCTTGTTGTTGGCTGTCAAACCTTTCGTTAGATCGTTCCACTTGTCTTCTTTATCCACTATGTTCCCGAGTCCGTTGACATTCCAACTTCTGATGACTAACCCTTGACTCCTCCAGTCAATTCATTCCCCTCCCTCATTAGCTCTTGCTCTATAGCTCTCCATGGTTGCAGCTGCACGGGACTAGGGGATTGGACTGATGAACAAAACTTACTCCAGGTCATCCACCCAAATCCAAGTCTATAATTCTTCTGTGTGAAGTCAGAGGCCCACCGCCTGCATCTGGTCCTGCCTTCCCTCTTAAACCCTAAACCCTGCTCTACCTGCTCCCTATTGAGAGCTGTTCGGCGGAACGGGGTTGAATTTCCCCCGTTGGTTCACGAGTTCGAAATCCTATCTGCGCTCTGTACGTTTGTCTTTTCTCTGCCCTTTTTTTTATAAAAAGGGCGATGAGTCGGCGACCCTTGCGATATTATCATCGGACTGGTCGGCCCCAGATAAATTCACACTTCTTCATCTGAGTTGACGGGGATTCGAACTGAGCTCTGTATTTGAACGGTTCATTGGTGTACGGACTGAGTTAGACCCCCCTCGGTACACTGCATTCGTAATAACGCATCTAGTCATTTCTGCACACATATTACGCTTGCAATTTTTTTTTTGTTCCTCGCTTGCCTCTGATCTCTTTACACCTGCAGCTCCATACTCAGATGAGCAGCTTCAGCTGAAAGGAAGCATGAGGAAATGAAGACATGTATGTGGGAATGAAAGCAAGAAATTGACAAATCCAATGTCTCTTGTTTTTGCAAATTGTATGCAGAAGCGGAGGTTTTTCCTCCAGGCACTCTTGTGGATTGTACTTGCAATGTGCGAATCACCCAACTCTCTTCCAATTTGTGTGGAAGTTAATCTCTCAACCCTGCAGCTACATGGTCAGAGGAAGTAGATCTTGCATACCATGATGAACCAAAAAAAAAGAAAGACGTCTGGGGGCATCAGAGCTGCAGGAAACAGGGGAAATACAGACGAGAGCGCGAAGCGCCGTGAAGCAGAGACAATGTCAACCTTATATATTTGAGAGCTCCTACCAAAAGATTCAACCGGTGAAGTGGAGGTTCTAGTGTGTTGCTCATTCGCTTTGGGATAGCTTACTGTCCACTAGCTTTTAGCGAATCCATTGGAGTCATTGGACAACCGGCCATCCTTATTAAATAACAAGGGGAGGCTCACTGTGGCAGTGCCACATGGGGATTGCAGAGAAGCTCTCTCTATGTCCGTCTGTGAATCCATCTGTTTGTCTGTCCATCCGTCTCTCGATCCATCTGTCTGTCTGTCTGTCTGTCTGTCTGTCTCTCTCTCTCTCTCTCTCTCTCTCTCTCTCTCTCTCTCTCTCTCTCTCTCTCT